GATACATGCATATATGAGCACTGTATTTAGTCACTAGTGAGTACAAACACTAAATCTGTGCAATGCTTTGCATTATTTACTAGTAAATAGTGTTAAATAAACAGTAGAAAAGAATAGAATTAGCATAATTCAGTGGTATTTATGTTGCACACTTTTAGTGTTTGTACTCTAGTATRCAGTTAGTTATTATTTGCATGTATCTTAATTCATTACTTAAATGCAATTGCTCTAAAGTCACTAAATTGAGAATCTAAACTTCATATATTAACAATCTTATGTGTGTTCAGGTGCTGACCTTAACATTATGTCTACAAGTGTGCAAATCTGCTTCGTAAAGCTGTTATGACAATTCCTGGGATGTCAGTGGGAATATTTATTCGTGGCAATGVCCATGCTGGGAAGTTTCTCTTTATGCACTCAGGGGACATGTGATAATATCTGTTGGATTTACGTCCAAGTCGCCACACCTTTCTTTGTCTGTCTATGTAAAAATCAGGCTCAGGACATACCAAGATGTACAATACAGATATATTCAGTGATATTTTCAATTACAAAATAATTAAAATGTCTAACTCTAAATCTAACTCTTTGTTAGAATTTTATAGCAGTTCTGATCTTATATCATAGCTTAACTGCAATTTAGTTAATAGCTAGATCTGAATTGTTTCAAGTTGTTTCATCCAAAATGGAAAGTTGTATATTTCAATATTTTTCAAATCCAGTTCTCCTAGGGAAGTAAGACTGATTCTTTGTAGATGGTAAATGTTATCTGATATCTTCAAAATTCAAGAGTATTGTTTTGGGAAACATTAGGCCTTAAATGCAGTTTATAATACAAATGAACAGCAATGGAGTAAAATGTAAGCATTACATCCCTGCCCCCAATGCAAATATTTTTTTAGTTTTTTTTCATGTTGTTACCCACTCATGCAGTTGAGTTCTTATAAAAAAAAAAATATTTATAAAAGTGTTGGTGTTAGGTTAATATACAGTTTTAAGTTCAAATTGGAAGTAATTTGCATGAGCTTGACTTGTTTTTTCAATTTATATTCACATACTGAGTGAAAATTAAGCTTATATAATTATTCCAAAGTGAACTAGAAACTGTATGATATTTGTTATTCATAAACTAGAAAATCAATAAAGCACTTTTCATGAAGCAGATGAAGGCATGAGTTAGTCAAGTGGCACGTGTTTTATTTGTCCGGGGCCGGGTTGTTTAAAGCTCGATTAGCGCTAATCCTGGGTTAACTCTTAAAAAACCTTCGCAGTTAACCCTGGATTAACACTAATCGRGCTTTGAACAACCCGGCCCAGGTGATTTATTGGTACAAAAGAAAAAACACAACATTTCAACCAGTGGAATGAAAGTCAAGTATTAACACTGTAAGCTTAAATGAAAACACTAAAATAATTTGAGCAACTCACTTTAAACTGCATCCTTTTTAGCTTYCCAATAGCGTTTTCTCCAGCATTTATTCTAAAGACTTTCAAAACCAAATGTGTTGAAGAGTAAGCTGTTAATGTTGTTTGTTGATAATCCAGTATCCGCCATTATTGGCATTTACCGCTGACCAGTATAGTTTCCCACAGTCCTCGCTCGGTTGTTAGAGCCCATTCCCCCATTCCCCATTCCTCCATTCCTCATTCCCCATTCCTGGTTTTAGTAACATCCATCAAAATGTGTTATTTTGCAGGATTTCTGGTTGGTCGCATCATAATGTCAATGATTGCCAAGTTTTTCATCAGTGAGGCTTTTGATGTCATCTACATCTTTTCCGCCGAACTTTTTCCAACAGTAGTCAGGTATACAATTATTTCATTTGTATTTTAATAAAGTAAATACATAAATAGACTCACATCTATACGTGAACTCGGCGATTCCTTTTTATCTACCTTCATATGTTCGAAGAGTGAATTCGATGCATTCTTGTTCGTCATATGAAAGCCTAMAAAGGTTTCTGGTAGCTACAACAGATTCGATTTAGTTTTAATTCGATATTTCGATTTAGATAAAGTAAGGTTAAAATTGAAGTTTTGCCGGCGAACGATTAGGGCGTGGAACCCAATAGTAGCAATACAGCCTGTTATTYTAACAACAAGCAGTGCCATACTAAACACTCCCRTATCAGTAGGTTAGTCCCCCTTATACCGATTATTTGTAGTCATAGCATTTCAGATCCTTCAGGGATGTATATTTATGTGGACGACGGTACGACACTGTTTGCCGTACAAAAAGTTAAATTTTTCCTTCTCTCGGAAAAGTTGATTGTCTTAATTGTAATGTCGATTTTAAGCAAAGATTTTCAATGATTATCGTTTTCAGTAGATTCGCAGAAAGACTGATTTTTGCAGTGAATTTGAAATTATCAATGATTTTTTTCAYAGGAATATTGGTATRGGGACGTCATCTGCAGCCGGTAGAATTGGCTCGATTTCAGCTCCATTTATAATTGGACTAGTAAGTCAGTGTTTATATCGTTATCATAATTATAATAGTAATATCGCTTMCATGAAAAAGAAAAATCATAGTTAACAGCACTTCATCTTTATACTATACTTTATACTATACTAACCCTTTCTAGAATTACTACAAGTGTAAAACGCCTTAACTGTCTTGACCGCGAGGGATTAAGCTGYCAAATAATGAATTATTTGTGACATTTAAAGTATTTTGCATTGCTAATATGATTGGTAAACTGGGATTCCTTAGGGGCCGCTATTCGCTTGTTAGGGACCGCTATACCCTTGCTAGCTAATACCATATATGGAGTACGTATGACAACCCCTACTCCTACTAAGGCCATCCTTGAAATTGTAGTACTATATAAAAATACTTTTCTTTTTTCTATTGGAGTTCCACTGTAAGGTGTTACCTAATTTTTATGTTATTTTGTTGTCAGCTTAGTGGTTTTGAAGTTACAACAGCTTCGATTCCTTGATAAATTTGATTATGCACTTATGATATCCGATCATGAAATATGCATATTTTTCTAATACATATGTCGTGCAAGTTATAAAGTAAGTATATAGTATCTGCTGTAGCTGTATAGTAACTGGTTTAGATGATGTATTGTTAGGTAGCTTCTATAGCTAGTGTAGTTGCCGTATCTAGTGTAGCTGATGTAGCGGGGGATACTTGACAGAATCTGCCGTAGCAAGTGTACCTAGTGTAGTTCCTGTAGCTTATGCAGCTTCCGTAACCTGAGGAGACATTTGTGAGCGTTATTGCTGTTCTTAACATAAATTCCAGAAACCGCAGGAATTGATTTAAACCTTTGTACCTGTTTTGATTCCAGGTTCGTATCCATGTTCTGATCCCGTATTCGATTTTCGCCGTTGCTGCATTCATCGCCTGTTTACTGTGCCTTACCCTACCAGAGACCAATAACGAACCAACTAAAGAAACGTTTGAGGCAAAGACAATTGCAGGCAATGTAATATGCCCTGACGATAATGAAAACGGAGTTGTGCCAGATAGCACTAACCTCTAGTTATTAGAAAATCCATACCATAAAGGGAAAGTATTCTGGTGTGGATCACATGGATTGATTGCTTATCCCCGAACATAACATGCATGTGAAAGAGAACTTTACGATACCAACGCAATTGTGATTTATATTGTAATGTATTATATCCAGTGATACATGTCCTTTGGATAGAAAACACCTCTTCCTCAACCTTCCCCTTTCTTTATTGTACAATCTCGGACACAAATGCTCGGTATCTTTACGTGAAYATGACATTAATAACACACTTTGCAAATAAACATTTAGCTAGACCAAACAATTCTTTTTTTTTGACCAACCAGTTCACTTGAAACCAGTGCTGCTGCTTTTTTTTTCCAACCGTGAAATCCATAATCGTTGCTGCAACACTAATTCAGGAGAAGGGCTGTAAAGGTACATATTTTCACTAGGTCCACAGGAAAAAATATTTGTCATGCGCAATAGAAAAAACGTCAAGTATCTATGTCCAAGCTGCATCTCTCGTTTCTACATAATCTTTGAATGGGACTCTTGGCTTCTGATYCTATGAGAYGACGGYGAATCGTTGATGGTGCTGCAATACGCATTCCTGTCAAAGCTTCCTTTTCTSACATTATTTCTACCAGAAAGAAGAAAAAAAAAACTATTAACTTTTCAGAAAACAAATGCATAAAAGCAAAATGTGGGATCAAGAACAAGAAGGAAAGTAAAAAAAAAAAGAAACAGAAAGGAGCAGACTTTGTATTTTTTTTTCTGACAAATTTCATTACATATCAAACTTAAGGGTGACAAAAAGTCCGTGATCAATCAAGCGTAACCTGACAGTCCGTATGAAGTGTGAAATACGACGAAAAGAGACCAGATTTCAAGACTTTTTGAAGAAATGCAATGATATTAAAGGCAATTCTAAAAACCTACCATCAAATTTAAGAAATAAAATATATATGTGAACTTTCTGTGTATTCTTTGTGAGAAAAWTTTAAAATCCAAGTATGTATTTTAGCCTTTGAAGAGTTGGAGTTGAGCATCAAAATAGACTGGCGATCCATGTTTTGAACGGCTCGCTTCAAAAAACTGGGCCTCGTGCATAACTTATTTAGTTAATGAAAAACCTACCGCCAAATTCAAATAGCTTATGAAATTTGGCGCATTTTGATACGTGATACATCTATCCTTCTGAAAAAAAAAATACTTGTGTAAAAATTGCTTTAAGAGTATTATATGCTGTGGTTTTGATTATTCTTATGAAGGCTATTGAAGTAAAAGCTATTGTTGAAGAGTCYCAGGGTTTCGCAGAGCAAGATCCGATAAAAACCTATGTATTATTTAAAAATATGCCGCATTTTTCCTTTTTTTCCAGCCTCTTCATTTAAAATATATCAAAAGATCTAATCTAAGCAAATGCCGCCCGATGTATGGCAATAAGTTTGATATGATAATTTGTAATATTTCTATAAGAAATAAGAGCGAAAAACATGTTTAGACGACGTTGTCAAGTCAGTTTGTATTACATGTATTGTAGAAAAAAATTGTCCCATTACATGGGTTGKAATTGTYATACACACTCTTAATAAGTCCCGAGGTATTGTGTTCTCCGACCTTCTCCGCACTTGACATCAAATGTATTCTTTTGAATTCACTTTGTATTGTAAAAATTTCAAAATAAATAATTTGACGTCAAGTGCGGAGAATGTCGGAGAACACAGTACCTCGGGAGTTATAAAACGGGTGTATAGTAAAAGTTTTATTGGTGTAAAAAGTGTATAGTCACAAAAAAGATTCTAAATTAAGACATTTAACAGATATCACACATTAGACTCGTATAAGAGCTACATACCCGAATTGCCCCGCCATATTCCCAGCTGGTTTATAGCGTGCAACAGTATACGAACATTTCATGCCATTTTTAGTAGTAAGAGCATGTCCAATTCCTAGCTTATTGCTTTCGTTCCAAACGACTTGTGTAAAGTGTCCAGTACCTCCTGAATATCCACCAGTATTGAAGTAATAACCTGGAGTACATATCTCGTTGTACCTAAAGAAAGCAAACGGCGATTATCACCGGTTACTCATCATTAGATATATATATATATTTTTTTAAAGAAATGAAAAAATCCCTAAAAATAGTTACATAATATGTATGTATATGTGCTCGAATAACATTATAATAAGTTTTTTCGTGTGGCGTTGTTTTCCTCTATGAACTCTTTATTTATTATGTTTTTTTTTTCATAATCGTATCTTATTTCACATACCAGTTGGTCACGGCTTGCGTCACTGTTTGTGCATTATTAGTTGAGCATCCAAAAGAAAGATTCTCACCTTCACCTTTTGAGGTAAGGTTTCTCTRTTAGTATTTGTAAGAGTCGTAAAAAGGAAATAAGCAATAGCTTCCATAAATGAATAAGTGWATAAACCTATTTCACTGAAACGTTGTCGTCGCCTTGATACAGTCCACAGTCTTGAGCCTGAAAAGAATCTCGGGATTGCCATATATAATAATATATTCAATTTCAGATGGCGAGATTTGTTCGATGAATTTAATACCCGCAATATTTTGCTAGTGTTTGCMACCATTGTCATTTACCTAAACGATCAGTASATTGGGTACTAGTTATCTAAATTAACCTAATTAAAATAATAATCATATCATTGCAAAGACAACCGCAAAATAAACAAGATTACAGAGTTTGGTCCCTTTTCGTTAAATAAAARTGTAAAAATGGACCTTCAAAGTGTTCGAAAATTACAAGGAAATGTATGGTTTGAGTGGACAGTGTCTTTAGKTTAATTTAGATAACTAGTGTAAAGTTCAAYTGAATGTAAACCACATAGGCCAATTTATTTTGAATATATTAATTTCGCATGGTAACACCGGCATTCTTTGCAGGCTCAAGAMTGTGGGCTGTGTCCTGGTCAAAKGTTTCGTGCTCGACGGCTTCAAAAGSTGTATGAATGCTCGTTAAACCACTTATTATATGCATWCACTGCTGGGTGATTTGAKCCCGTGCATTTTTTGTTAAGCGGTCATATTTGAAAGTGTAAATAAAGAAAAGGGAAAACCCGCAGCGATCGCCTTTCACTCAGACAAACAGTACGTACAAGTCGTGTTAAATTTATTTACATAACTAAAAAAATGATTATAGAATTAAAGGGACATGGTCCACCACAATATATACCTTTCGAGCTTGTGTTTATGTTTGAAAATAGAAATACATCGTAATATAATCAAAAACTTACTCTTTGTTATTCCTTTATCCTATAAGAATGGAGATGCTTTAAGATTCGACCGTTAAACCGATGGATGGAAACGGATTGCAAATGGATATTCGAAGTCACCTTATTTTCCATATATGAAAAATCTAAAACACGACCGCATTGCATGCTAGTGGACCATGTCCCTTTAAACCTTTAAGAATTGCATGCTCATATGAAACATTTTCCACCTTAAATGCACACGTGTTTTTCAGAAGGGAATTTAGCCGAGCTTTGCGCTGATTGGCTAGTAGCATTTTCTCAAATCACCCAGTGATTAAGCCGTCAAAGGCGAAACGTTTSAAATAAAAGATCACAGGATAATGTTGTGCCTTTCAAAGGTAATAACTTTTTTGATATATATAGCATCCATATGTATAAACTTTGAGAGACGACAAAAAACGGGACAGAAGTAAACATAAATTAATACCTCTTTTGATTAAGAAAAATCACTAGAGTCGTTCTCATTAAACCCGTGGATCACACCTTAGCGTTTTATCCTTTACTACCCTTTATTACACTTTCTCTGTTCTTTTATCAACGAGTATCACAAATATTTGCATATGAATTTCTTCCTATTGTTAGTTTATCCATGAGACGACTTCAACTCGGAGAGAAAGAACACAATACCCATTTAAATATAGAATTTCCACCAGGAAAATACTAATCTACTAGATCATTCGTTTTCATGAAAGCTCCTGACACTGGCGAAACCGATAACAGAGAATACGGGAGAATAGATTTTGGAGTCGCATGTTAATCCTTTAGGCCGCAGAGTCAAGCGCGTGCTGCTTGGAAATTTTCCGTGCTCGGTATTTGCGGTTTTATTGAAGGAGTTGTACAAGTGATTCCTATTGCTGAGAATTGCACAGCAGATATCATAATTGCATCTATTGAACACCAAATTTTGCCATTGCTACCAAGAACCGTATTTCTAGTTGCCGACAAGGATAGCGTCCACAATGATAATAATAATAATAATAATATGTGGTATTTATATAGTGCCGATATCCTCTGAGTTCAAAGGCGCTTCACATGTATAGATCATTTCACACGGACCGCTGTTTAAGGCGCAATTGGCAGCCACGCGGCTTACAATCATGAGGGGTTAGTAATTAGTATGGGTTAGTAGTAAGGCCTAGCCACACACACCGGGAATCATTCCCTACTCTTATGCGAACAGTGGTGTGGGTTCTTTAACGTCCCTCTAATACAGGTTAGTGAGTGAAGTGTAGAGAGACGGGACCTCCGATTTTACGTCGTTATCCGAGAGGACGAGAAGATCTTACCATTTGCAGATGGAGAAAGACAAAGGCAGCAACTTCTCCTCAATTATTTTAAGACCCTGAGTGTTGGTCCGGCCGGGGTTTGAACCTGCGACCTCCCGCACTAAAGTCCGATGCTCTACCTACTGAGCTAACCGGTCGGCGGTT